TTATAAAATATTAATTTTTGCAAAATTATTTTATGAATAATTTGTATGTAAAATTACTTGTAAATTGTATTTGTGCATCGAAAATTATATACATGAATTATATATGCATTTAAAATTGTTCACAATTTAAAGAAAATATACAAAACAATTTATTAACAAAGATTAACAAAGATTATTTTTTGTGTTTACAAATAATATTGTGCATTAATACATGAATACATAAATTAAAATTTATTTATTAAAAATTCCATTTTTTTCTCTTCTAACATTTATTAATCATCTTTGTATGTGTTCTTTACTTATTCATCTTTGTATAGTTGTCTTTGTCCATAATTAATATGTAACACAAAAATCATAATACTGGGGTACTTTCGTGTAACAAAATTTAATCGGTTGCTTACTCAAAATATTTTAAATTCTAAAAATAGCTCGAACCCCTCTTTTCCTAGAGCGTCCCTCGCATAAGCTTCTTTGTCTACATTCTTGTACTTTTGTTTTAATAACCTTTGTATCTATTAAAAAGAAAGAATTCTTTATTTAATAAAAATGAACAATTCTTTACCCACCTCTTACAAAATAATTCTGTCATACTAATAAATTTAATTCTTTACCTTTTACTAACAATAAATTTAATTCTTTATATTCTTTATTATTATTTGCTAAGTATAATTTAATTCTTTATCATCCTCTTACAAAAAAATCAATTCTTTATCCATTTTTTTTTGTATTTTAATTTAATAGCGTCGCACAATTTTTATTGTACAACGATCACGTGAAAGTCACGGGAGTGTACTTAAAGAGGGAGTTTTATATAGATGGGAATGAAAAAAGACCGTGCAGTGCAGGGGGAAGAGGGTATGCACTTATCTCTAATTCCCGAGCTTGGGAATGAATGAAAGCGTGCACTTAGAGGAGGTTGACTGTAGTTTTCATGAACAATTCATGGTTTTAAACTAGTTAATTTTTTTTGATTAGTGAGTGATATTGGACACCCTGATTAAATATGCACTTTGCCAGAGAACCAGCTACTTTAGTATTAGCCAAGCAGTTTTTTTCAAAAAAAATTCAGAAAGTATTATGATCATCATCTTATTTTAATTAACCACAACAAAGGCGGTATTAATGTTCTATTAAAGACATCTAATATTATTTAGACTTCTAAAAAAAGTTACATATAACCTGAAAAAAATAAAATAAAAAACCGGCTTCCTTAATAAGTTTCAGTTGAAATTAAATTAAAAATTTCCCGATTTTAATAAGTGTAAAAAAGGAAACATAATTTTCCCAAATAAAGTTGAAAACAATGAAAAGCACAATATAGTTCTTGAATATTTTTATTTTTTAAAAATAATCAAATGATGTGAAACCTAGTGGCTTGCATTATATACAAAAAATACAATCGAATGATTTTTTGTTGTTGCAAAGAAATTGGAATCGGAAGGTTGCATGATGATTGAAAATTATATAATTAGGCCGAAAATTTTGTTTTTAATTTTTTATTACTCAATCTCAATCATCAAAAAAAATACAAGGAGTACATAAATAAATAAATAAATAAATATGACATCAAAACTTTTAACAGATACTATAAAAAGTAGAGTTCGTAGACCAAGTTTGTTTCAAAAATTGACAACAGTGGATGATCTTATTGCAAGTGGATTTTTTAAGGATGGAATGAGAATGGGATGGGTAATTAGTTATGTTATAAAATGATAATGATTATCATTATATTAACATTATCATTATTGGAATAAAGTCTGGATTTACAGGAGTGGGATATCCTAAATTGACACCAGCAGCACTAGCAGAACATGTCGAAAAAAATAATTTACAAGGAAAATTAAGATTTGAATTATTTGTGGGAGCAAGTACTAATGCTGAAACTGAGAATAGGTAAATTGAAGTGTTGATATGATGGGAAGAAAATTTTTTTTTTAGTATTAGCCATGATCGTACATCGTATGATTTTTTTAAATTATTGTTATTATTATAGAAGTTGTGTTACTAAAATATTCAAATGGGAAATTTCTTGATCTATCTTGTTTATTTATTTTTTATTTATTTATTTATTTATTCAGATGGGCAAGGGTAATTGTTTTTCTAGCTATTTTCTAGTTAATTTTGATGGTTTAAGGTATTCTCTTTTGATGTTTTTGTCGATATTTTAGAATGATATGATATCTAGACGTTATCCATACCAACTTGGTAAAGATATTCAAAAAGGAATCAACACAAATCATATTGCGTTTGCTGATAAACATCTTTCCGAGTTTCCATTGGTAATTATTATCGAATTTTCTTCGATTTTTGGAAATTACTTTTCCTAACACACAAATATGCACATTCTCTCTTATTTATCAAGGATTTGGTATCAGGTTATTATACATTAGAAAAAAAAGGAACCACAATAGAAAAACTTGATGTGGTGATAGTTGAAGCAACAGCAATAACAGAAGAAGGTCACATAATTCCTGGAGCATCAGTTGGAGCAACACCCGAAATTGTTCAATCTGCAGCTCATGTGGTGATTGAAGTTAATACGGCGTTACCTAATTTTGAAGGATTACATGATATCACATTAAGCAAGTTTGCACCTTATAAATTTCCAATTTTAGTTCAACGTGTTGATGATAGGGTGGGAACTCCATACATTCCATGTGATAGTGATAAAGTAATAGCAGTCATAGAGTCAACGGTGTTAGATAGAACAACAGATAGTGAACCCCAGGTAATAATAATAGTGTTATTTAAGGAAGATTTTTTTCTTTAAAAACTAATAATGATATTTTTTTTTTGTCAATGTTATTAGGATGCTACATCACATAAGATTGCGAATAATATACTTGAATTTTTGGAGCATGAAGTTAGTATGGATCGGCTACCAAAACAATTGTTACCGTTACAATCCGGCGTAGGAAATATAGCAAATGCTGTTATTGGAGGACTTGCCGATGGACCTTTTACTGATGTAGAAGTTTGGACAGAAGTAATTCAAGGTTTGTGTCAATCAAACGAATGAATTGATAATTAAAAGAAAGCAATTGTTTTATTAAAACAATACAATTAAATGATTGGTTTTCGTTGATTGATATTAGATACATTTCTTGATTTTTGGGAACATCATAAATTGTCATTTGCATCGGCAACCAGCGTAGCATTTTCACCAACAGGATTTAAAAGATTTTATGAGATGTGGGATTATTTAAAGGATCGATTGGTGTTGAGAAGCCAAAGTGTTTCCAATTCGCCGGAAGTTATTAGAAGATTAGGTGTTATAGCGATGAATACTCCTGTCGAGGTATTATTATTATTATTTATTTTTTAGAAATTTATTATTATTATTTTAAATTAATTGACTACAAAATTTATCCATAGGTTGATATATATGCACATTCCAACTCTACACATGTATGTGGCACAAGAATGTTGAATGGGCTTGGTGGATCATCAGATTTTTTGAGAAACTCTAAATTAAGCATTATGCATACACCATCTACAAGACCAACAAAGAAAGATCCAATAGGAATTTCCTGTGTTGTACCAATGTGTTCACATATCGATCATACGTAAGTAGTATAACAAAGAGAGTTTGAAAAAACCAAAAAACTTTTTCTTTTTCTTGAATTAATTATTTCTCCTAAAAAAAAAATAAATAAATATATATATATATAGTGAACACGATTTAGATGTAATAGTGACAGAACATGGCTTAGCGGATATAAGAGGCTTATCGCCGGTAGAACGAGCCAAAATGATAATTGATAAATGTGTTCATCCGGATTATAGAGATATCTTAAAAGATTATTTTGAAATCTCAGAAAAGAAATGTTTAAAAATAGGTGCAGCACATCAACCACACATGTTGGATAAAGTATTTAAAATGCATTTAAATGTCATGGGCGAAGAAAATACTATGAGAATTAAATCTTGGGATTAATAAAAAATCCGGCTTATATGTTATATATTTATATTATTTATATTATTTATATTATAAAATCCAATTTTTTTCTTAGAGAAAAAAAAACTTGTTTTTTTTCTTGTAAAAAATATGAATTGAAATTTTATTACATGAAAAAAAAAAAATTAAAAAATAGTAAAAAAATGAATATAAAAATGAAACAAAGATAAAAATAAAACTAAGATATTATTTCATGATAAAAAACTATACAATAATAATAATTAATTATTTTCTCTTCAAACATATTTATAAAAATTATCCTTATTATCTTACAGAAATATCACTATAGAAACCTCCAAAACCACTATTATTGTTATTGTTATTGCTATTATTACTATTATTACTATTATTATTATTATTACCATTATTGATATTATTTGGCATATTTACAATATTCCCATTACTGGGATCAATGATTGGTATTGACTTTGTCATTTTAATCGGAGCTGATAATTGTTGTTGATAATAATGATGATGGCTATGATTATGATGACTATGATGATGATGATATAATAATAGATTATTATTATTTGATGTTGGTGGTGATATTATTGACGATGATGATGATGATGATGCTATATTGTTGTTGTTATATGATGAAAATGGTGAATTTGGTCTTGTATAAAATGTAGTTGATGACGATGATGATGACGATGATGATGATGGGGGAGAAGTAGAAGAAAAATTTGTAGATGAAGATGTGGACGATAGTAATGACGATAAAGGTATTGAATTGTTAATGTTATTATTATTGGATGATAATAGTGATGATGACGATAGTGAGTTTAAATTAGAGTTGGGATTAGAAATAAAATTAAAATTAAAATTAAAGTTAGAATTGGAGTTTGCTTTTAAAGGAATAACATTTAGAGGAGTTTTGTTTGTAGGATCAATTATTGGTATTGCTCTTTTTTGTTGTGGTGGTGTTATATTAATGGATTTGGACTGACTTTGTAATAGAAGTTGAAAATGCAATTGGAATTCCGCGAGCTTGTATATATAATAAATAAAATGAAACAATGATTATTAGTATTGTTGTTGTTATTGTTGTCATTATTATTATTACTGTTATTATTATTTTGTTGCTCATAATTTAGTAATTAATTAAATATGACTAGAATACAAATTATTGCATAATTTTTTTTTGCTAAAAAGTCAGTCACAGGTTGATTGACTCTTAATTCAAACAAGATACATTTCTAATCACATAAAATTGGTTGAGAAATTTACCTCTTCCGGTGACAAAGAAGGACAAAACTCAAGATCATCATCAAAACCTTTAGCTGCTTCTTGACGAATCCTATAACGGTCAAGACGGTCAGAAGCTAAAATAAAAATAAAAGTTATATATTCATATATTCACGTATTAATTTATATATATCTAAATAGGTTTATTAATGTATGTTTATTTTGAGGTTTATATTTAAAAGAAAAGATAATGTTACCTTGTGCATGGTCTTCAAGTTGTGACATATTTGCAACTATTAGATATATTATATATATGTATTTATTAAAGAGAAATTTTTAGTATGGTTTTTTTTATTTTCTCGACAATAACAAAAAAAATTATTCCAACAATAACAACAAGTATAAATATTTCTTTACCTTGATTTAGAGAATGTGTCAAAAGAAAAAGTAAAGAAAAGAACAAAAAAGGAAAGAAATTTGATATTTTTAATAAAAATTAATAAATAAAAAAATAAATATTATTTTTTTTTTAGATTATATGTTCAAAGAATTAAAAAAAAATTTTAATTTTAAAAAAAAAAATAATAATTTAGCTCTATAAATAATATTAGTTTTTATGGGCCCTGAACTATTTTGTACTCTTTTCCCTCTCTTTGTGGTGAAGATCTTTTAGTAATTTCCTACAAAAGTAAATTGATTTGTTGGAAATGTGGCTTGAAAAATAAACTCAAAATGTCATCGTCGTCATCATCACACATTCGGGTTACACAAACAAAAAAAATCTATTAATATAATAATAAAAAAACTTCGCTCATGACGACGACTTTCCACTTTTTTTAAAAAAACGAAACTTCTATTTAACAATTTTAAATATTATTATAGTAAATAATTAATGCATACATCTTTTCTTTTTCCAATATTTTTGTTTCGAAAAATATTCCACTACCGTGGCAAATTCCTTCAATACTTCTTTTATTTGTTTCTCTTTTGGAATCGTTGTTCATTTGTCTTTGAACCAATGATTTGTCTTCTGTTATTTGGTAGAGTATAGAGATGGTAATGATGTGGTATGGTTTAATGGAAGTCATAAACTTCTTGGAATATTCCGTTAATAAAGGTCGAATCGGAAAATTTAATTTTTCAAAAATGAACAAATTAAATTTGTGGAAACGTTTTCTTAAGATTGGGTCGACTATCAATATCAATATTGCATCTATTTTTATAAATAGATCGTCAAATGTCACAATTGATAAATTGAGCAAATCTTTTTCAACAGTACATCTGTGATTACTCTTTTAGTTAAATCCATAAAACAGACGCAGTTTCATTCATGGTTTATTTTTTATTTTTTGTATCTAATACTAAAGGGCAAATTGCTAACCATTTTAATTTTACAACATTATGAACAGTATTTTAGACCAAGTTTTTTGTATGTGATTTTCATAGAATTCACGATGTAGTTGTTTTCGCCTCAAGTTATAATTTTCGGAAAAATATTGAAAAGAATAATTATTATTATCAATTGTTATAATTATTAATATTGACGAAAAGAGGTATTTCAGTTCCTTTATTTATACGAATCCAACTGGCCCTACTGAAAAGGTAAAGTGCCGTCATGGCGCAGAAACCTGGTCCTGTCCCTGCCATTCTTTACATGGATAAAATCTTGAAAGAAATAGTTTGATGTGCCACATCTCCACTTTCCATAAAAAGGACTAGGTTTTGTTTTACAAGTTTGTTTTGTATGAAAAATGATCACACGACAACAATAAGTTAGTATCGGAAAATTTTCAATAACTGTTTCACGAAAATCTATAAAGAAATGCTCATTTTTTTTGAAACATTTTTAGATTAAACAAGATGTTGTAAAGTTTCTAGACAAGGTCAAGTTTGAAACATCTTAACCTATTTGTAATAAAGCGTCCACTTTATTCACTATCATTATGTGAAACAAAATGATGTTATGACTTTGCATATATGGAGTTAATTTACTTTTTGATTTTTTTTGTTTTGATTTTAACAGTTAAAATCTAATTAGTCGCATTAGTATATATTTGTTTATAAATTTTTGAAAGGGAGCTCAAATTACAATTGAATCCAGCCAGTTTTAGAATAATTATATCTTTTTCCAATGGAAAGAAATTTTGGAACTACAAACTTTATTGAAATTGTATCTCAGGCCTTTTCTCTAGAGAGATAAACCTGATATCCAAACTTAACAAGTTTGACTTAATTTATTAATTTTACTTTTTTAAAAATGGATTTTACACCTTGTAATTTTGTTTTTATTCTCTTTCCCTCTGATTCCTTAAAAGTTTGATTTTGCATGACCTTAATATCGTTATACTCTCTTGTAAGTTTTTAAGAGGTAGTTTGTTGGTTATACTAACTGAGAAATGAACATAGTTAATACTTAACGTTGCGATTTATTTATTTCATTAATCCTTTATAAAATTTAGAGAATGAAAATGATGCATATGTCAAACAATAACAACGTCAATTGTTTAATCAAACAAATTGGCCAGACAAAGGCGAGAAATTAAAGATGATTGTAGGCTTAAATGAGTGTTTGCAACTTCTCAACCCGATAATTTGATATCACATTTAGTTTGGTTACATGGGGCCAATGTTGAAAATAAAGTTCTTGTTAATTATGTGAATTGTTAGATCGATTTTTAAGATTTTTCTTATAACCAAGGCTCCAAACGAATCAATGAAATTCGAACCTATAAATGACTTGGTTCGAATCTAATTCAAATATATATAGTGCAAGTCACTTAGTCCCACAACTTTCTGCGCCACAGTGGCCAATTTTGAGAAAAAAATTTCCAATCAAAAATGCAATAAAAATTTTAAGGTCACATGATATTTTGTACATTCTTTGATCAATGCAATAATCTATTTATTAAATTAAAATAAATGAACTTACCTGTTCTTTGTTTTTTTAATAATAAAGATAATTAATTATCTTCCCGTTCATCTGGAAAATTCACGTGACAAAAGATCTGCAATATAAGATAAATTTTTCAAATTTTTATTTTGTTTCAATTCGTCTATTTTTGATAAACTTTTTTGTGTGTAACTGGCCATTTTAGGGCCAAGAATCGTAAATTTGGTAAACTTTGTGCAACTTTAAAGCTCAAATCCTCCACAACAACATGACATATCAACGAAATGAAATTGTGATTTTGTAGAGGAAGGTCTTGGCTTCAAATACACGATTTATTTTTGGGTGTTGCATTTCTATTTTTGGAGAATTTGAAAGTCTACATGACCAATAAAAAGTTGTGGGACTAAGTGACTTGCACTGTACCATATAAAATAATTTTAATTTTAAAAGAGTTGCCTTTGGACAAAAAATACATTTACCTAGTGCAATAATTGCATTTGGTTTTTCCATCTACAACTGTGAAATTGATCCACACGTTCCACTTCTTGTTTTTCTTTGAACACATTAATTGCACTATGCCTGTTGAAGAAGTAATTGAAGAGGCATCATTCTCAACAATGTAATTATTGTCATTTGTCATTTGTCATTATTATATTCGTTTTTTTCATTATTATTATATTATATTTATTTTATCCAAATTATTCGTTTTATTTATTTTATCCAAATAAAAATCGAATACTCAAATTCATAACAAATAAAACGAATCGTTCGAATAAAAACCCTATTAATATGACATTAAAAGAAATTTTATCGAATCCAGTTTTTTGGAATTCGAATCACTTTAAAATTTAACTCAATTCCATTTGTTCGGAGCTTAAATGCAACAACCGAATCCTTTGCAGATTAAGTTTGATATAATTAAAAAATATAATTAAGATCCAATTAGGAACCAATTAAAGAATGTAATGAATGCTAGTATCACCAATTATTTTTTAGGAGAGAATATTAATTGATGGTAACAATAAATTTATGATTATGTGGATCAGAATAGTTTTATTAGCGAATAAAATAGATTATAAAAAATATTTTTGCTTCTAATTTCTCCCTCTTCTGTAAAAACCGTACATTTCCTGATAGCCCTCAATGTACTCTAACTTATTACATTAAAATGATCGTAATAACGTTGTTTTTCATAAAGAATTAGGTCTCCAAAGTTAAAAAGCATGGTTCTTTTTGAAAGGCTATTGCCGGACAATGAAACAACTTACCAACAAATAAAGATTGTGTTTAAAAGAGCAAAAGTACAAGATTCCTTTTATTTAGAAGTATAGGAAGTTTTTATTTATAACTTCTATTCGATTCTTCTTTTAAGGTCTGTTGGACGAAAACGTGCTGTGTCGACCATACAGCAAAATCAGCAAATGTGAAATCCTATCTGACTGCTATATATTCTATATACCCAGTTATATCTCCACTAATTTTGAAAAACATATGAAAAAAAAAGGGGATATGATTGTAATGAAGAATAAAAAGAGAATAAAGTTATGCGCGTTTATTGATAGTAATAATAAAAAAAAAAAAAAATAGAAATAATAAGTGTTAGAAAAAGAATTAATAAAATACCATGTCTAACTTTCTGAAAATGGATATGTTGAAAGGTGAACCGTATTAATCATTTCCTTGTGTGTGAATGCTTCCATCCATCAAATATTCATGATGGCCTTCAATACATTTGATATCATCATTGAGATAACAAACAATTGCATCACCCAAGCAGTAATGAAGCCAAGGCCATGCAGAAATGAAAATTTTAATAATGCCTGTCTACCCAGATCTCTGGGGTTCACAAAAATAAATTATTTTTCCCGATTATCAATCATGGTTCCTTATGAATAATAAATCTGATGTTGATTGCAGGTGTCAGATTTAATTAAAATTTCCTATCACCAACATGCAATGCGGTGCAATTAAGCACGCCTATAACCATGGAATTTTCTTTCCACAGAGAGGTTCCACACATGTTGGAAGGCTTTGGTCAAAACTTTCCCTTATCTCCCTCTCAGACCAGGCTTGGATGTCACCATATGGGCATTGATCACTGATAGCTTGGTGCTTGTGTGATGCTTGCTTTGTGTTATTGCCACACTAGAATAAAAGTTGGCATCTGCAACTGGTTGAAAATTCAGCAACTCGGGAGGTTGCAACCTGAGTCATTGTTTTGGTTTTTCCTGAATTCAGAGTTTTGAGTCCTGGGTTGCTGTAATTTTTATGAAAAGAAAAGTATTAATATTTAAAAATTAATTATTTAAATGTTTATTTTGTTGAAAAAAATATACATTGAAAAATGATTATACAAAACAAACACTATTTTACAACTTTCCTCTTAACATCAGAGCCCAAATGCAATTTCAGGGCCACCAACCCTGCTCTGAATTGTGACCTCCTGTGTTTGAAACGAATTGCAGATTCTCGTTGCTTTGATGATCTGGATGTTTATGCGCACCTAATATCACAACTCTTCAAAATGCTGCAGAGTTGCAACTTGGTCACAGTGCCATCCTTACCCTGAAGGTAGGATCGTTGCAGGCAACTTTTCGGCTAGCATTTCAGCGGCTTTCTCTGGTCTGGATGCTGTGAGGGAAGATTAGTGAAAGTGTCATTGACGATTGATGCAATCTCGATAAACTCCAGATCCACGCGCCTTCTGGAATTCAGTTGCATCATCATATCTTTAGGTCGTCGAGTCAAGATTAGCCTTTTGTACACGAGGAAGATGCGAGAATGACTGTAAAATGTTCAAGGTAGAATAGCGTGCGTGCTTCAACACTTGCCAATTTCTTATAATCAAACGTCACATACTCATTGTTTCAATTGCGCTGCCTTGACATCTTCTTGTAATTATAATATTTATAATAGTATTATTATTGATTACGAAAAGTAAAATATTATCAATGAAAATCTTGTAATTACCCAGCATTGATCTGCTCCGCGTTTTGATTTCCAATTAAAATGTTTATATAAAATAAAAGTATCAATCAATAAAATAAAAAAAAGTACCTCTGGTTAGTTATTAACACTTCTTCTTTAGGAGACCCAAACCAAACCAAACAACACTCGCGTTTTGTCACCTTGGACTCTGTCAAAAAATAAATTGTTTTTCCAAAAAAAAAAAAAAAAAAATCAAATTAACGTCTGTCCTACCAAAAAAAAAACCAATGTACATGTCGATCAATCATAACCTTCTTTTTCCAACTGTAAAAAAAAGACTTTTAATCTTTTTTCAACTCATTTTAACTCATTTACAATTAGATATCTCGCATAAAAAAAAAGGATTCAACAAACTCTCAATCTCATACTTTTCATTTTAATTTCTATTATTATTAAATATGTCACAAGGAACTAGTAGAAGAAATCGCGATAATTATTGGGAAGAAGTAAAAGGGTAAGTCACTTGTCTTCATTTAAAAGAATGGTGGTTACAAATCATAGTGGAAATTTGTTGAATGCTATATGTTACACATAGCCCGTTTTCCTTGAAAATTCATTAGCATATAGTCTTCACCTCTCTAAATCGGGGATACAATTGAGATACAATTGAAACTCAGTTTATCACCTACTTTTTATTGAGAGAACATTCACTGTGTATTGTAAAATTACATCATACAACATAAAAAATTAGTATAACATTTCAAATGTCCACCATGCTTGGTTACAATTATTCTGCTATCTAATAATAATTATCTTTTTTTCAAACAATGTAAATATCAAATTCAAGAGTAAAAAAGTAAGTACTACTAAAGAACTATGCAGAAATCATTTAAGCATCAAAATCATTTAATTAATCATTATAACCTTTATTGCTTTTTAACTTATTTAGCACTGATCCAGGATATAGGAGTCGTAGTGTGGTAAGTAAATCATATTCTTGTTGAATATTCCAATTCAATCAACAAGTTCAAGATTTTTATTTTGTGTTTTATTGGAATAAAATTAGAGAATATGTGTACAGGCCCTGAAAAGTATATTGGAGGTAATGGATGAGATGGATGTTGCGAAGTTAAACAAGGTATATGAGGATAATGAAGCAAGGTTTTCGAAATTGGAAGATGAGTTGGATGAGATTGAGAAGTTGTTATTAAGAGAGGATCAAAAAGAAGAAGAAAATGAAGAAGATGAGTCAGAGGCTGGAGGTGGGAGTGGATATGATGGAGATGATGAAAGAAGGGAGAGTAGTGATGAAGACAGTGGGAGTAATAATAATGTTGATGATAATGATAATAATAATGATGTAAGTATTTTAGTTATTTCTGTTTGCTGGTTGATTTTTATGCTTTTACTTAAATGGTCTGTTGTAAATAATTACAGAATGATGATGATGATGCACCTCCAAGGAAAAGAAGGAGAATTAGGTGTTTTTATGTAGTTGATTCTGGGAGTGAGACATTGGAGGAAGTGTCTAATTAATTTATATATATATATTTTTTAAAGACAATTTTATTAGAATAAAGTAAATACAATAATAATAATAATTCACAAAATAAATTCCAAATTAACTTTATATGTGGCTATTCCTCTTGAAAATAACTAGAAAATATATATATATATATATTTAAGTTTAACATTTCAGAAAAAACAGATATGCCAAACAAAGTCTATGAAGTTTATTCAGTCTCAATTATACATGCAGCCCAATTGGTTTGGTGATTTCAATGGTAAAAACTATTTCAATTTTGATGGTAGAAAGTAGAAATTAATTATGGCACTCACTATTAAAACATGTGTAACACCCCTTTATGACATGTGTAACCCCCTTTATGACAGTGTCAAAATACTTTGGGCTGCATGTATGGTCTCAATTTAACAATTTTAACTGCATCATAGATATTGTTGACTGATCTGGATATTATCTAGGTAATATCCAGTGTTAATCAGTGTTGGGTTATGACCAGGTCATATCACATTTCCTTGATGACCAATGGTCATGTGGTCTGTCATAAGGTCATAAATTTTGACCAATAGAAATTTGTAATTGAAATTTAAAAAAGAAAAAAAATTTTTACATTATATATATAGATATAAATAAATATGTAAATATGCCAAATAAAAAGAAGAGTCACAATTTTTTGCCCTTGTTAAGAGTGATACAAATAAATCAAATGCAAAGGCGGTTTGCATTTGTTGTATGAAAAGGGTCAGAGGTTTAGCTATTGCACAAGTAACATCAGGATGTTTTACCTCAAATAAAGCAAGGCTTTGTCACAATCACCTTGCTAATTGTAAAAATTTTAAGTTAACTTATACCAAAGAAGAAGTAGAAAGAATTTTATCATGTTCTGTACCTGGAGACTTAAAAAATAATGGTAAAGATTTTTCTGAGGCTCCTAACAGATCAGATCAGATCAGATTTGAATGAAATCTGATCTGATCTGATCTGATCTGATCTGACCTGACCTGATCTGAAATTCGATCTGATTTGACATGACCTGATCTGATCTGATCTGATCTGACCTGACCTGATCTGAAATCCGATCTGATCTGATCTGAAATCTGATCTGATCTGTTTGATCTGTTTGATCTGTATATATACAAATTTATGATACCTATTAATATCCTTTATTGAAAAAATCCAATAATATAATAATGATAAATTTCTTTGCATAAAAATACCTTTCAAATGTTTTTAATGATGGTCTTAGTGATAATTTTAATGATTCATATTAACAATTTTCTTTATTGCATGTGCCTTAAATTTGGTTAAAAGGGGTATTAAAAAGTTGAAAAAAAATTTTGTTTTTTCTATTTTTATGTAAAAAAAAATTATATTTTTTATATTATCTTTATGCAAAATACAAGTTCTGCCCATAAATGTTCTATTGGATTCAAGTCAGTGACTGTGAAGGCCAATTTGTTAATGTTCTAATTTTATTTTCTTGAATCCAAGCTATTACATCTTGTGCAGTATGCACTGCAGCATTGTTATCTTGAAAAAGATAACCTTTTCCATAAAATTTTTTCTCAATGTAGGGCAACAGATGTCTTCTCATTATTTCAATGTAATCCCATCTATCCATAGTTCCATCTACTAAAACGAGGGGTCCTAATCCTCTATTTGAAAAGCAACTCCAAACCATAATGCTACCACCATTATGTTTCACAGTTGGTACCAAATTTTGTTTTTCAAAATGTGTACCGCAAGTTCTCCAGACATGATTTGGACCATCATTGTTAAAAACTGCAAACCTAGATTCATCTGACCAAATAACATTTCCCCACTTTCTAATAGACCATGATTGCTTCTCCAAATACCAATTAAGTCGGTTCTCCATTTGTACATCAGTTAATAAAGGTTTTTGTGCTGGAATATGAGAAAAAAAACCAAGATTATGTAAGGACCTATGGATTGTCTTCTGTGATGCTTTGATATTAGTTTTTTTTTCAAAGTTTTGCTGTATTTCAGCTAAAGTACTATGGGGTTTCTTATTAACAATTCTATTTATAACTTGTTCTTTTTCTTCACCAATTAATTTTGGACGTCCAGATCGAGGTGCAGAACTTGTTGTATGTGTGACTCTAAAGCACACCAAAATATTATGGACTGTAGACTTTGGTATTCCAAGAACTTTACTAATTTCTCTCTTGCTACTACCAGCTCTGGACATACCAACAATTTGACCACGGGTTTCTTCATTTAATTCTTTCCTTTTTGAGTTTAAATTATCAACTTCCATTTAAAAAAATGTGACGATCAAAATTTTAACAGTTCAAAACAAACACAATAACAAAACTTCCATGTAACTCTTTATTCAGCGATGAAAATCATAACAAACATAAACAAATGATTCAGGAATATACTGTAAAAATTTCACATGTAGTTAATAAATTGATAAAATTTTAATTGGTTTTCAAAAAAGTGGTCCATGACTTTTGGGAGGTGAGTGTATATAGTAAAATTATGCAACTTTCAAACCACCAAGGCTTTTTTTTTTTATTATAAAATTGAAAAAAACTCTCTATTTCATTGTTGCTTAGGTTCTAAAGATTGCAAAAATAGAGAATTTTTTTCAATTTTATTAATTAAAAAAAAAAGCCTTAGTGGTTTGAAAGTTGCACAATTTTTTTAATGTCTTTAAATGACCCGCACCATAATAATATATTTTGTGTTTAAATTACATTGTTTATTTGTTTGTTTATCCATTTGAAATTTGAAAATCATTGGTAGCACTAAAATTTTTTTTGCCCCACATTGTCTCACTGTGGTGTTTCAGCGGATATAACCGGCGCGAACAGCAATGTCGGGTTAATGGTTTTTTTTGATGTCCAAAAATATAAAAATTAATAAATTATTAGTATGTTGTAAATCATCAACATGTACAACAAATATAACGAGACCAACTAAATTTTTCGATCATTTTTATAAAAAATTCATCCTTTTTTTTATTTTTATACACACATTATATAACCGTTAGTCATTTTGTCAAAACAATTTAAATAAAAAATGGTTTCTGAAATAACTGATTATAGAATTTCTAGGGTTGTCATACTTTGTAAAGATTGTGGCCAAGATGTTGGTTTTTACCCTGCTCGTCATAAATGTGGTCAAACACATTTAGATGCACCGCCTTTACCCTCTATTCCTAAAAAATATACATCGGGGAAAGGTAATTGAACGTTCGTTACATTTATTATGTATTTTTAAAAAACTTTTAAAAATATTCATTAAAGGCACTCCATTCTATATATGTGCGTATATAATTTAATTTATTGTAGTAATATTTTAATGTATTTTTTTTTTCCAGAAACTTCTTCAACAACAAAGGTAACAACGACAACAACAGCAGCAATAACATCCCCAGCACAAACTTCAACACTATGGAATAAATTTTTAAATGCTACAATATACACCAACAATAATGAAGATTCTGATAATGGTAGACTTTTGCACTTTTTAATTAATTAAATTAATTGAACATTTTAATTGATTCTATATTTATTTAAAATTTTTTGTTTTTTTGAATCCGTTCTTTTTTAATAGAATCTGAAAAAGATGGTCATGAAAGCGAAACTCATATTTCACGTATTTTGAGAGAATATTATGAGAAAAAGTCTGGTGACCTTCCTAATTGGTTATATGATTCAACATCAACCAACGATAATGATATTGGTTACAATCCATCATTAAATAATAATAACGTACCATTATCATCATCTTACACTAATAATTCAATAAAATCACATAATAACAACAATAATAATAGTACCAGGCAAAACAATCTTTATAATTATGCAGCATCTAAAAGTTCACCAAATTTATTACAAAAATCACTAAGATCTCCTTCTTATTCGAACGAAAGAAATCCTGAACTACCTGTTAAATCTCTTGAAAGGAATCTAGGAAATAATAATAACGAGAGAATAAAAAGTAAAAGAAATGATCTTAATATTAATAATAGTAATAATAATAATTATTATCATCCTATGGCTCATTCACCAACACACTCGCCGATTCCTTCACCAACTTATCCAACCCAATCAGCTCAAAGAGGACGACAACCTCCTCCAAATTATACCAGATCTAATTTAAATGACCCTTCCAAAATCTCACCCAATCAACCTCATCTACAATATAGAGGTGGAAATTATTACAATGACATTCCTAATGCTAATAACGGTAATAGAGCCAGAAGTGTTAGTCCAAATCCTTCACCACGTGTATATAACTCAAATTCTTCATTCAACCAAAACCCTAATATTGATAATAATAACAATAGATATAATAATGATCCACATGGCGTGCGCATGCCATTATCTCCTCCTCCTCATTCTTCAACGTCATTGAGTTTAAGACCCGAAAGGAAAAAAAGAGGATGATATTTTAAAAAAAATATCTACAAGCTGAAAAAATACATTTTTAACATATTTAATATCTCTTATTTATATATATTTGGTATGATTTATTGTAATATTATTATTCTTTAAAAAATTTTCTTTTGAAAATATCACTAGACGCTTTTTAAAAAAATAACATTTATTTAAAATTATTATTTGTAAATTTTTCCTTTAATTTATTCAAATAGATATTTATAATAATAAAAATAAAAAAAAATTTAGACTTTGATTATTTGTGATCACGTTACCAAAGAATTTACAAAATTAATAAAATGCCTTTCCCAAAGAAATCAAAAGTTTACGATAGCGATGACGATGTTTCAAACGAAACATTTGTAGTTTACGGTACAGAGTTACCAGACATTTCTAGTGAACAGGATAATGGAAAATTTGTGCCAGTATGGAAACAAGAGGTACTTATTTTCTAAAGCTTTTTTTCTCAATTTTCTGATATTGATTTAATTTTTATTATTAATATAGGTTCGTGATGAAAATGGTATCAGGCGATTGCATGGTGCTTTTAAAGGTGGATGGTCAGCTGGTTATTATAATACAGTAGGTTCTAAAGAAGGTAAAACTGAAATAAAACTGAAATACTAAAATAACAAACTTTATTCATTTTTAATAATTTTGGTTAATTAATAATGTATCTCTATATATAACAATTAGGTTGGTCACCCTCTTCTTTTGTTTCTTCCCGAAAAAAAAGAACAGATTTTAAAGCCTATAAACCGGAGGATTTTATGGATGAAGAGGATTTGGAGGTTGTTATTATTTTGATTAAAATTAAATTTGATCTGCTAGGAAGTTTTCTCTACAAAATTACATTGACTTTATTACTGACTGAAATTAATTATGACAGGAGCTTGCTCAAGAGAAAAAATTGGTTACAACTGAAGAATTTGATTATTTTGGTTCTACAGAAAGAGAATTAGAAAAAAAGAATGCTATGAGAAAATCGATGGAAGCTGGCGGAAGGTATTATTTGTTTATTACAACTAGTTATATGCATCTCATTTTGTTTATATTTGTGGATATATCTAAATAAATATCTAACTTAACTATCTAGTGTATTAGGAACGCTTACAGACAAATTTATTGCAGATCTAATAGAACCTAGTAAAGATCCTATAGGTATATTGAATTTTCTTAAAAATGAAGTTGCTATTTATATTTATCCCTGTATTGTTAACCTTTTAAATCAATTGGAATATTTAGGTTTACGTCTATTGAAAGCTATGGGCTGGCGAGAGGAACAGGATGTAGAACCTCATATTATGAATAATAATGATAAAGATCATAGTAATAAAGATCATGGTATTTATTAATTATTACTATTATTATAAATATTGATAATGATATTATAAATAAAAATGTTCTCTTCTTATTATTTATCATATCGTTGATGTAATTGTTAGGTGGTATTGGTTTTGGTGTTTCAGATGATGAAGAAGATGAAATATATATTAATGGTGAAACATCCATGTCAAATTTCCATACTTCTATGATGGATGATTATGAAGATATTTTGATTTTAGGCGGAAAAGAACACTCAAAGTCAACACCCAAAAGTAAACCAAATACAAATTCTTATAAGGTAGTGTGTGTGTGTGCGTATATATAATATTTATTGTCAATGATTATTTTTTATTTTATTGAATAAGTTTATATTTCCATGTTTTTTGTCTACATAGTCCGCTGCTCCAAATAAAAGTGTATGTCATGATGGAAGTTTACCATTACCTGGATTTGTTCTAGCTTCTCGTCCTATTCCTCTAGATGAATGGTAGTATCTTTATATTTTTCATCTTTTATTGAAATTATTTTAATTTGAAAAAGGTGTTTAATAGTAGTTTGAAATTATTTCTAAAATATTGATAATATTAAAAATTAATAGAATTTTAAAGTATTATTTTTATTTCCTATTTTTATAATTTTGATAAAAATTTTTTTTATAGGTATTCGCCACCAACTTTGCCGCCGGATTTTGTTTCTATACATAAATTTGATTCAAGTACTGAAAAGGTTTTAAATCCTGTTGGTTCAAAAACGCAAAATTCCAAAAACCAGAAACAATCAACTTTGGCCTTAATTGCTGAACAGGTAAATTATATATTATTGGTAAAATATAATAAATTTATATTTGTTTTCAAGCACAAATATATTTTATATACATGTTGTGCGTGAAAATGAAATCTACAATTCATGTATGTGAAATTACATTAGCCAATCAAAAGGAATTTCGCATTCGTATTTAATTATAGATTTCAATTTCACAATACAACATATACATTTAATATTTTTTATATATAGCGTGGCGAATTATTAGGCGAAACACCATTAAAAGCTCCAGCACGATCTGTATTTGATTATATATCAAGAAAAGATAAAGAAAAATTGGATAATATAATCAGTTACAGATTTGATACAGTCGGAGAGTCGCCTAAGGATCAAAATAATAAAGTTCAAATTCCCAAAATAGGAAAGGATATTGCTATGGCTGCTTTAAAAGGATTTATACCATTTTCAGATAATAAAAATAAACAAATGAGATATAAACAATTTCTGGAAGCGCAGGCAGAGATCATTTCAGATGAATTAATCAGGCAGCCTGAAGTATTTATTATTACAATTATTATTTCAAAAAAAATTTTTCAGCTTTTTTTACATATTAAGTGATGCTCATTTTTGGTTTTTTACCTATATATAATAATGAATTTTTTTTACTATAAAAAGGGGATGACTTCCGAAGAGTATGCCAAAGAACTTGATGAATTTTCGCAAGCTACGAGAATTTTTCGTCCGATGTCCAGTATGCTAGCATCACGTTTCACCAGCTCGAGCAATTCTAGTTTAGAAATCAGTAATGATGATAATAATAGAAGTGTTGAAAAAATAATAGAGGATGGAAGTTACCTTAAAAGGCAAGAGGATAACCGAAAACAGACACAATCAACAGCAGAGACTGCTGCAAGGATGAATATGTTTGGAACTCTTACTCGTTCTAAAACAGAATTTTATCCCAATAGGCTTCTATGTAAAAGATTTAATATAGCAAATCCGCATCCAGATCATAAAAAATAATGGATTTACGAAATTGAAAAAAAAATTTTTTACAATTTTCTTCAAATTGTAATCATCTAGTCATGTGTGCGGAGGATTAGAATATGACGTGCTACACCAACCTTTCTTTACCAGAATAAAATTTATTTATTTATTCTTGAACATGTTTTATTATACATATATAATATATATATATATTAATATAATATAAATAATAGTCTTAAAATATAGACATAATAAAACAAAGGTACAATGATATTACATACAGTAAGTATTACAGTATTATAATCTTATATTGAGAATCGTGAATAAAAGCAATCGGATTTTTAAATCTTTGCAACAACAGTTAATGATTATTATTATTGTACGGTAATAATGTTCCAAATAAAAAATGTTGCACAATTGGTAATTTTTTCATTACTTCATCAACAAACATTTTCAACAAACCTGAATTTACTTTTGACCAGTTTGGCACTCCTGAAATATCATAAAGCAAAGGTGAATGTTCGTGGAATGGACCTTTTTTTACCTTATAATATAATATATACATATTGGAAAGAAGATACACACACATATATAAGCGTACACTTAATAAATGTATGTCGTAATATTTACAAATAAATAAACATATATCGATACCTCATTAATGTATTTTATACAGCCAAAATATATATACTCATTAGCATACATATCCACCAAATCATTCGATAATATGGATTTAGGTTTTATATTTGGATGATCTTTGGACAATATATTGATAATAATCATATTGGTTAAATAAAACCAACCAATTAGTCAAACAACAAAATTAATAACATTAATTCACTAGGTTTATTATAATTGATTGATACCTCTTAATTGTGCACTTCCCCAATAATATGAAAGAAATTGATGATCATCTAATCCCCATACTCCATGACTACCTGCTGGTTCAAGCATATAAACTCGTTGAAGTTTTTTAACCAAATCTAAATATCTTGTAAACAATAATAATAACAATAATAAGTATTATTATTATTATTATTATTGTAACTATTATTTATTCAATCGATCAAGTAGTAGTTAATTGATTACTTTTTAAATATTCTTGTAATTATTGAAGTATAATTTTTCTCTTCAAAAAGCCCTAATAAATTTAAACAACACAACCAACACACAAAATTTAATTCATGTCCACTTCCATAATCAATACGCGTGGAATTGCCAAAACTCTCTACAAAATATGGTGCTAATTCTATTATATGGTCATAATATTCAACCGGTAAAATATCTTTATGGATGATTTCCACATTCTATAACAAAAAAAAAGGTGAGAATCTATATTAATAAATGGATTATTAGTATGTAACATATATAATATATTAACAAACCTGTTCAAGTCGATTGATCCAAGTTCTAAATGCTTTATTGCCGAATCTTTGAGGCGTGGGCAATGGGGGATTCTCATCTATCCAAATCATCATTGTATCCAACGTATTTACTATTTTTTGTGTTATCTGTAATTTGTTAATTTTAATTATAACCATGAATTATAATACTGATTGAAATTATTAATTATTAAAATAAATTAGAACAAATTATATTTTAAAGCCATTTATTTATTTTATCAGACGTTTTTATTACCTCAGAGACGTGACATGGATCAGAATTCTTGTGATTGGCCACATTTTCATTCAACAGTTTGATAAAATGCATCAGGCGTATAAATGCTTCTGACTTGAGCCAATTTTCCAAATCTTGATCATTTTTAATTTGTCTACTTGGTTTAGCAGGAAGCATAATTATTAAATGATCGTCGGAAATGAATTACTGGCGGCACACGACAACCAATGTATTAATATATGCGTGCTTTTTAACCAAATTTGGTAATTTTTTGCCGATATTTGCCAAATTTGATTGGCACAAAAATTTCCGCACACTTGCTGAATTTTACATATTAATATTGATATTTTGAAGACAAGCCACTCACAAATAAAAGATGTCTCATACAAAATTCTCATATTTGGTATGTGCCTAAAAATAATCCAGAATTGGTGTCACAAAAAATTTCGAAGTATATAAAATGTTAAAAAGTTATTATTTCTATTATATGTGAATAAATTTATATATATACACATGTTAGATAATTTCTCAAGATCCAACGACTAATCAAAATAAATATTAACGTTAATTTCAATAATATAATCTAATTATTAAAGATAAAAATATAACAAATATAATATACATTTATACACGCAATTAATTATATATGAATACGCAACAAAAACCACAAATGCATTATCAACCAACACCACAACCACATCAACCACAGGCACAACAACATCATTATCATCATCAACAACAGCAACAGCTGCAACATTTACAACAGATGCAGCAGCAACAGTTCTTTCAACAACAACAACAACATCAACAGCAGCAACAACAACAACAACAATTACAACATTATCACCACCAGAATCCACTACAAAACCAACAATACCAACAACAACAACGATTAATGCAACAGCAACAGCAACAGCAGCAACAGCAGCAACAACATTACAATCATAATCGACATCAAAATCAGCATCAAAATCAACAACAGCAACAACAGTTTTCAAATAATGACCCCAATAGTCCTCATATGAATCCTGATCTTAATAATAGTAACAATACATCAAATAGCACTCCTGCTTCAGATGCAAGCAGTAATCATTCGAAAATTAAACCGAAAAAGGTGCTTGGGAATTATACTTTGTCAAAGACATTAGGTGCTGGCAGTATGGGAAAAGTTAAATTGGCAATACATTCGCTGAGTAATGAAAAGGTTTGTAAAGATTAAATTATTGCAAATAATTATAAACATGCATTTAAATGCATTTTTGAATTTTAATTTCATTCATTTATTCATTTAATCAATTAATTAAATAATATGGTTTTTTTTTAAATTAATTATTTTTATTATTTATTTATTTATTTAGTTGGCTGTAAAAATTATTCCAAGGTCTTTACCGTCTGATAATAAAGATAAAGATTCGTCCAACAAAGACGAAAACAAAGAAACTAGAACTATTCGTGAAGCAGCAATTATGTTGCTTTTGTATCATCCATATATAGTTCAACTTAAAGATGTTATGGTACTACAACATCATTATTACATGTTTTTTGAATATGTTAACGGTGGTCAGATGTTGGATTATATAATCAGTCATGGAAAATTAAAAGAGAAACACGCAAGAAAATTCGCAAGACAAATAGCTAGTGCATTAGGTCTGTATAATTATTTAATTTGAACCCATATATTATATTATCAAAGCTATGAAATTTTTCAATTTTAATGAACGTGTTCAATTCTCAATTGCTTTGTAATTTTTATCAAGTTTTAAATTTTTTTTACTATTGCTTATACAACTATCATAACATTATATATAATTATTAATATTAATACAGATTATTGTCATCGAAATTCAATTGTACACAGAGGTAAATTTTTATTTATTCATTGTATTTTACATATTTATCAAATTAATAATTAATTTTTTTCCAATAATTTTTTTTCTAATAAAGATTTAAAAATCGAAAATATACTCATATCAAAATCTGGTTCAATTAAAATTATTGATTTTGGATTGTCGAATCTTTATTCTCCACGTTCTCATCTTTCAACATTCTGTGGCTCATTGTATTTTGCTGCTCCAGAATTATTAAATGCAAAATTATACACTGGTCCTGAAGTCGATGTATGGAGCTTTGGGATTGTTTTATATGTTCTTGTTTGTGGTAAAGTACCTTTTGATGATCAAAGTATGCCTGCTTTACATGCAAAAATCAAAAAGGGCGTAGTTGAGTATCCTGGATGGTTGGGTAGTGGTAAGATAAAAATTTTAATAATATCTATCTATATATGTGTATATAAATATCGCTTTTTTAAATTGATTGATTGATTTATTTAATTTTTTTAAAAAAAATCCTGTATAAAGATTGTAAACATCTTTTATCAAGAATGTTAGTTGCAAATCCACTTCATCGTGCTTCGTTAGCAGAAGTTATGAATCATCCTTGGATGAATAAAGGTCACGAAGGTCCACTTGAAAATTTTTTACCTCCACGTAATCCATTAAGTCTTCCACTCGATATGGAGGTAATTCGGGGCATGACTGGCTTTGAATTTGGTACAGAACAAGAAATTAAAATGCGCCTTGAAAATATTATAAAAAGTGAATCATACCAAAATTCGATAAAAAACTTTATATATCCAACACATATAAGTGGTGCTAGTAGCAGTAGTAATATTTCTTTTGATCATAGAAGAAGAATGAGTGCTGGTGGTGCTGGTGGTGGTAGTAGTAGTGGATTTGACTATTATCGTAGAAAGTTTTCTGGATCAAATAATTCTATTAACGAAGACAGAACCTTTACAGCCGATCCTACTCAAGCTGTTCATCCATTGATCTCAATTTATTACCTTGTAAAGGAAAAACTTGAAAGGGAACGTTTGATTCAACAGGGTTTTATACCTCAATTTGGTTCATCATCATCATCACTTGTAGAACAAAATAGTTTACAAACGCCTCATATTCCTTTACCAGATCCATCATATCCAAGTGAAACTGGATTTGATATAAACATGAACAGTTCATCTGCTTCCGGAAATAGTTCATCTGCTGTTCCCATAAGAAGAGCTACTGTTCCATCTGGGGCTAGACCTCGTTCAAGGACAAATGGAGAAGTTGATTTTAACATTGGACCAATTCCACCGGTGATAGTTGAAAGAGAAGTTATTGAAGAAAATCCAGATGACGGTGAGTTATCTTACGCTAAAAAGGGTAAGAATCAACATTCAAACACAAATGCTGGTGGTGTTGGACTAATTCGACGTTTGAGTTTAGCAATAGTTGGTCAACGTGAAACTACTTCCCCCCAAACATCTCCGATTTCACCAATATTCGCAGTTTCGAGAGGCCAATCTGAACATAGACGTCATGGCTCTACACCAACCGGTGTCAAAAAAGAAGGAGTCATAAATATTCCTCAGAGATTTTCGAATATTTTATCAAGAACAACATCTGTACCTGAAACTGATTATTATCAATCTCGCCCTCGTTCAAAACCTTTAGTAGGTAATAATAATAATAATAATAATAGATTACCTAATAATACTAATGTTCCACCAAAAAGCCCTGGGACCAAAGTTCCCGTTAGTGTTTTACCACAATTAATCGAACCATCCTCAAATAATACCACAGCAATTTCTGATAGGATCACTTTTGCACCTGGTACTTACACATCATCTAAATCAAATACTGCACCTAACTCTTCGGCACGTTTTACTCATGGTCGTAGTACCTCTACAAGTGCTACATCCTATCCAATAAATATAAATTCTGTTAATAATCATTATTATAACAATAACAATAACAATGGTATTAGTGGTGGTAATAATAATAATATTAATAGTATTAATAATAGTAATAATACAAGGACAGACGATTTCAACTTTCCACCTTCATCATCACCACATACACCTTTGCCTGGTGGAACTGCTGATTCATGGATTCGCCCTGTATATCTTAAAGGTTTATTTAGCGTAGCAACGACTTCCACAAAACCACCGTCAATAATTCGACAAGATCTTATTAAAGTTCTTGAAAGAATTGGTGTGAAATGGAGAGAAGGTCGCGGGGGTTTTGAATGTGTTCACATTCCAAGTATTGATTTAAAATCAGTAATCACAACTAATTATGGTGGAAATAATAGTAATAATGGCATTGGAAAAAACGATAATCCCTATATTACCACAAATTATAGTGGTGGAGGCGGCATTAATACAACTAGTCATCACCATACACATTTTAATCGTCATGAGCGAAGAGGTAGTCTTTCTTCAGGAAATTCAGGTGCATCCACTTCATCATCAACATCCTACAAAGATAGTTACGCACAAGGTCAAGATCTTCAGTTTTCTGCAGATGGAGAAGTTAGACTTTCGTTATCTTCTAACGCGGGAGCTACAAATCAATTAGGTTACATTAATCCCATTATTGGTAGTGGTGGTAGTGGTGGTGGCGCTGTCGTTAATGTGGGTGGTGTTGCTGGAAATGGTTACTCAGCTTCTGCAAATGTATCGGATTTAGTTGTTAGATTTGAAATATTCATTGTTAAAGTACCATTATTGCTTGGTGTACATGGTTTACAATTTCGTAGAGTTGCTGGTGATCCATGGCAATATAAAAATATGTGTTCAAAAATTTTAGGAGAATTAAAATTGTAGAACAATTCATTCATTCATATAATAATAGTTATTATTATTTGCATATAATGAATGTCTTTGCCAACTTTGACAATTTTTATTATTATATTATTATTATTGTAAATTTTGGTTTTGTAGATATTATTAATATTAATTTTTATTCTTTTTTATTATTGATTAAAGAATTAATAATAATACAATAATATATATATTGCATATATATATTTTTCTTTTCCTTTTTTTTTTTGTATGTATTGTGTTGTAATATTTATTTATTTATATATACATATATTTTAATATGTCAAAGTCTATTAATAGATGCCTTTGACATTTTTTATTTTTATTTTTTTATTTATTTTTCTAACACCTATTTGATTACAAAAAATT